AACTTTATAGGTAACAACATCACGGTTACAGTATTCATATATATATATATATATATATATATATATAAATGAATAACATCAATGTTACGCCGCGCCGCGCCGCGCCAGGCCAGGCCTTTAGTACTTGTTTTGTGCCAAAAACAATCTTTGCCAACGAGAACAAGCTCAACTATTACTTAAATAGGTCCGTATATGTCTTGAAGGGTGCTATAATAATGTCATAAACAAAATGAGATTTAGGTGCAATATGATACATGCAATCGTGACTAAATCGTCAGAACCAGCTTTTATCATTATATTGTGACCTTTAGACAACATTAACCCACGCTTACTCATGTAACTAGTGTATCACGTAGAACTGGGACTTCATGCCGTAGCTAAGAATATACTCTACTAACAGGAGCAAAACTTACCTATGTTTTGAATTAAAACTTGAACCGTTGAATATTCAGACATCCAACGTTTGTTTTAAATATTATTTATTACTTTGACAATTAGTATTCGGAGTAGTATTATAAATTTCATGGACGTGAAAATTGTTTGGTACTTTCGGGAGTAAAAACCATATTTATAGTTTGTTTACAGTTAGGGTGTATCTCAAGTATCCACTAAATACAATATTTCCGAATATATTTTGTGTCTACAACTTTGATCAGATGTTTCAGATTTTGACTCAACCATAACCTAACGTGCTAATCATGAACTATGAACCAATAAATAAAAAGTGTCAGTGTCTTTGCCTACTCTCAAATAGTAAAGTATAGTGAGGCTCGTTTGACGAGGGACCGAGAGTAAAGCACATAGTTTGAAAGGTCGTCGTGCACGTCACGATAGCGCGCTACAACGTACTGTACGGTGTATGTACGTACAATGTACCGCGCGGCGCCCGCAGGCGACGGCGTTAGCTTTGAAACGGAGGGTGTGCCTGACAGCGTGTCATTCACTTTACGCAAAGGTTCATAAAACATATTTAAGGTTGGAATAGATTTTTACTATAAATTATGTAATTAATATATTATATATGTAATTAAAATAAGTTATCTATATGTAGTTAGAGTTATAGTTTCATTAAACATCTTGTAAACGTACAATTCATATGACAGACACAAGCAGCAGATTTTACTATTTAAGAAAACTACAATTTATCTTTTAAGCATAAGTTTTTTTCAGTAACTGTCTTTCAAAACAAAATATTATGTTTAGATCGTGTAAGAACAACAATCAAAATTAACATAATCGGTAACACGTTAGTAACCATACCTGGTAAAGGTAGAGCTACTCGTAATTATGTATCGAAGCGCATGAAACGTAAAGAAGTTTTACTAAATTCGAGGAAATTTTGTTACAAACTCGAAATACTTTGTTCTTAAGTTTACAGACAGTTTTAAGTTTCAAATTAAAGAAATAAGCTTAAAGATCTATAATAACCTGCTAGAATATAAAAGTAAAATAATATTACAAATATACAAAGATACAAAGATAGGCGCGAAAAATATAACCCTTTCCTTGCAGTCGGATAAAAAAAATCAAAACTATAGAATACTCAATGATATGACAAAACAAAATCAGTCTTAAACTCTAAAAAAAATTATGGTAAATAAAAATTGAAAGGCTACTTATGAGTATAATCATGTAAGAATTAGCTTAAAAAAACAATAATGATAGAAGATTTAAATCTAAACAATTGCGAACATTAAAAATAATAAAATATATATTTTTAATATTGACAAATAAAAAACCTAAAACATGCCAAATACAAACAAAATAAGTCCCTTAGCTGTAGAGCTTAAACAGGTAGAAGATCCATACCTCCGATTGATCTGAAATTTGGTACGAATATGTTATTCAAAGTCAGGCAGCGGTAGCCCAGTGTTAACGCGCTCGTTTGGGAAACCGAGTGAAGTGAGTTCAAATCCCGAGTCTCGCACCTCTGACATTTTCATGTGCGAATCATTTCCAGCATGATTACCACTTGTCTTAACGGTGAAGGAAAAAAAACGTGAGGAAACCTGCCTGTCTGAGAAAACCTAACAAGTTTTCAAAAAGACTCGTACTGAAGTGAATCCCAAGCCCAGCAGTGGGACGTTAAAAAGGGCTGAATACATGTTATTCAAAATTCGCGCGTATTTCATTATCAAGGTCAAATCTAGAAAAAATGTTTGAATGTTTTTTGCGTTCATCGTGGCAAATATTAATTTTAGAGGAAAATATTTTATAAAAAAGTTGTACGATAAAGTTGACATTTTTTGTTCAAGATTTTTTTTCGTGTAGAGCAAAAGTGCCCCTTTAGCCTTCTCGTTAGGTTAGGTTAGGTAAGTTTTATTTTTTGGTTATGCGACAGGCCCGACTTGAAATTCATATGTATACCAAAATTCTGATTAATCGGAGGTATGGGATATGCGTAAGAACACCCGAAGTAAGGGCTGAAGTAAAGTGATAGCGGTGATGAGAGAGAAACTGATGTACAAAAAACTTACATACATCTAGTTGCAATACATAATTGCAGAGCGACAGTAATATGACGGATGGCGCTCCGAGTCAGGCGAGGAGCTCCGCAGTGACCGCTGACAAGGAAATTAAGTGGACGACGCAAGTTCTCGACAAGAGGGAATTTACGAGAGTTCGTATCTCGGCCACGGGCACAACTAACTTTTAACGATCTATTACTTCGAACTTATTGACTTGTTTATTTTAACTGGACATTTGTTTTCATTTTAAATTAAATATCACTACTCGTACGAAATACGATATAGAACGGTCCTAAGAGTGATCTATACTATAATAAAACTGTAGAGGTCGAATGTCTGTACATAGAAAGAAAATACTAAAAACCGAGTCAGCGAGGTGTAAGAAGAGAAATAGAACAAGTCCAGATTTTTTTCATTTTTTTGTTTCTCTGTCTTTTTGTCTGTTTGTATGGGCTAATCTCAGAATCTATTGGACCGATTTAGATGAAATGTTGCATGGTGGTACCTTATATCCCCGGTCAACATCTTAGATACTTTTCATCCCGGAAAATTAAAGAGCTCCCGTGGGATAGTTAAAAAACTATAGTAACTTATACAGCTTAGTATACAACAACTTTTGCACTTAATTTAGTCAAACTTGGCATGCTGATACCTTATATTACTGGTCAAAGAACACGTTACTTTTTATCCCGGAAAATGAACGGTTCCCGTGGGATAGATCTGTTTGTGCTTTCCTAGACGCGAACCCGAGTGAACGAGGGTGAGCCGCTAGTCTACAAATATAATTCTTATTTCATCAATTGATGTCACTTCAAAGATATGAAAATTCATGAAATTTGAGCCATATGACTGCGCTCTGATGTTGTGACTAGCTGGTGACATTCGTCATTGTTCATTATTTTATTACACGCTTTGGGAAGCTATTATGTGCGCGCTCGCAGAGATTTCTGACATAGTACAATCAACGTACGATCATAGGTGGCGCATAAAATATAACTTATGATTTTTGATAAGTATAATTGAAATAAAATGTTAGTAATTTGGGGTTATGTACATATATTCTGATTGTGCGTAATTGTGTCACGTCACACCTGGGCAAAACCAGGGCGTGTCACTATTTAATCTGTACATATAATAAAATTCTAACTGAGTCAAATCTGTACATTAAATTTTTTTTTTGAAAATCTTATTGAAATAGTCATTATAATCGAAACAGAGGCCGAATCTATAGTTATTAGAATTTTTGTCTGTCTGTCTGTCTGTCTGTCTGTTACCGCATCACAGAAAAACCACTGGAGGGATTTTGATGAAATTTGGTATGATGTTAGCTGGTTATCTGGGTCAACATATAGGATACTTTTTACCGCAGGAAAATGTCTCATTTCTAAGAAAAAATACAAAAACTGCAATGTAAGAGTATACTAATATGTAAAACCTAATATGTAATTTGGTTTTTGGTCGTCTGAACGCGGGTGGAGCCGCGGGCAATGCTAGTGATTAAATAAATTCTCATTGTTAACCAATTCGTTTTACAGGATATAAAATTATTAATTATCCTTATACACAATATAATATTAATATAATTAGACATTAGCGCTATACTATATCGTAACGTCTCGTAGAATGTCGTAGCACGAGCGCTACGTGGCCCGGTGGCTCGTAGCTCGCGGGGGACTCCACGTTAAAGCAAAGCAATTCCAAGCGCGGCCGCAACGTGCACTCTGAAAGGATAAATAGTGGGCGCTACGCCAGCTTCCACGGACGGGGATTTTCCACCAAATTACTTAAGTTGATAAATCCTTTGCAACGTTAATAAAACAGCTTCACAGAGTCATCGGCTCTAGTTAGTTAAATTACCCGTGTGCCTTCAGCCTGGTGTTACAAGAGTTAACATATGAATTATTATAAATAAATAGAAAAACTAAAAGTATATGTAACAATACCAGCAAAATTTATTTGTTTAATAAATCAATTTAAATAAATTCTCTATTATTTTAAATAAAACTATCTTTTCGGGTTATATCGCGGATTTATATAGATTTTTGGTTTTTTACAGTAACCATGGTCACGGAAGAGACTAAGATTTTACACATCTCAAAGGCATTATATACTTGTTACAGACAGCCTGTCTCCTCAGTCTCTCCCGTGACCATGATAGCTGTAAAGCATTTGTAACGTCGGAAACCAAAAGTCAATATAAATCCGCGAATCCGAAAATATAGTTTTATTTAAAATGTCAAATTTTCGCGTAAATCTAAGAAAGTATTAAATTCACTATTAGTATGAGAGTAAATAAAATTTTAAATAAAAAAATATTTTTTAATAATTATTATAACCATATATATAGGTGCATACGTACATATGTATATGATCAACTATAAATTCTGAAAAACTACAACTTTACTTTAAGAAGTAAATATGTAAGTTTAATTTTCTAAAAAGCTCCTCTTAGTATTCTCATTTTTTATTATTTTAAACATAGTACAAGCTACAAACGTCTCCTGCGTTTGTAGCTTGTAAGGTCACTCTCTAACTCGTGAGGAGTGCACAATAATACCAACAGTTCTCCTCCGACACAAGAAGACATGTTCTTGAGTAGCTACAGCCAGCCGCCGGCTGAGCTCCAGCGTCGAGCTTCGCCAAATTACTCACTTTGATAAACGCTCCGTCCGCGCCGGGATTTATCCCCGTCCGTAGTTCAGCTCGCGCCAACGCGGTGATAGATCGGTAAAAAATAGCTGCAACTTGGTGTTTACAGTTCATTTTATTTTAAACTAGGTACGTTTTAAATAGATATGAATAGTTACTAGCCAGCGTTAGCCATATAATTTTTTTTTCGCTAATTTTTCATTTTTTCTCTTTATTAAACTTTTCGTGGACCTTAAGAACATACGAAAAAATTTTTTTGCCGAATTGGTCCAGCCATTCTTGAGTTATGCGCTTACCAACATTCATTTTTATTTATATAGAAGAAGATAGATATGGGTATTACTTCTACACTTTTAATATATATTCCTTTTAGTGTGTTGGTAATAAATAGGCTAAATATATACACATAATATGAATCGCTCGGGCTACTGTTAGTTATTTTATTTTAGTTTAATCCAGACCACTTCTAAACCCAAGCAAGCAAAGCAAAGTTGTGAATCGACTTATCGACATGAAACAATAGGTATGTGTTTGTAGATTAGCCCTGTGTTAAAAAAACGTGTAAACACAAAATATTTGTTTTAATTTTACAGATTCACGTTCGGAATAACGCGGAAGCAAAAGTACTCTAAAGCATGTTATATATGTTGTGTATGTATAATCGAACCTCACTGGAATATCTTGTTAAGCGATGCATTTAAGTATCTAGCGACATGCAACAGTGGAGTTGTGCGATTAGGTTACTAATACCTTTATAAGTCACAACGCTACATTTCCACATGAGTATTATGCATAATTTACGGTTTGTAACAATTTTATATAGACATCATAGCAGTATAGTTTTGATAAATATGTCTCAAAATGTTTGTTATTATTATAGTAACAGTACACAAATAATACAAAAGTAAATAATAATTAAAACCTAAATACAATATAAAAATGGCATAATATACGTTTGAGAATAACTTGGATAAAGCTGAAAAGTTCGGTAAATATGCAATATGGAGGCTAATTCGCTATTGTAATGAAAAAGGGACAGTTAGTAACGAGATTAGCGCGGGGCGGGTGGGGCCGCCGGGCCGCCGGGCCGCTGGGCTTTGGAATTAAATTGTCATTTCTTTTCATATTCAGCCGCAACTAAAAGTCCCCTTTCGACTCGCACCTCTCCACTCTACATCCGTTAAGAGTTTGGACTAAGAGCGGATATTCATACTGTGGTCTGTGGACCCGCACGAAGTTAACTGTCATTAGGTGGGTAAAGTAGTTGACCGAAGTAATTACAAATTGTAAATATTTAACTGATATCATTTAATTGTCTGTCAGTTTTAAATCAGGTATAAATGTTTTATACCTGATAATTTATGGGACATAAAAATAAATAACATTATATTTTTGGTTATTTAAGTAAAATCTGTAATATCAAAAGCTTGAAAGTAATATCAAAATTAGGTATTCACTCCTGTGGTTTCTTTTATATGGGCATCAGTATCAGGTATATAGAATATATTTATATTCCTGATACTGCTCCATATTGAGTGTTCCCAGAAGACATGGTAACGAGAAGATTCAACGATCCACTCGGTAGAACTGAGACACGCCATGCACCGCTCGCCAGAGCATCTTAAAGAATTGATAAAAAATATTTTAAGAATATATTTGCCTCCATTTTACCCATGTGAACCGTAATTTTCGTGAAGTTTGTTTTGGTAAAGGTTCCTACTCTATTTATTTATGTTAATTTTATTATTGTATAATAATTTAAATTCTATATATCCATATATTATTCAACTGCCTCGGTGGTGTAGTGGCTAGCATGTACGGCTGCACACCCGGAGGTCCTGGGTTCGAGTCCTGGGTCGGGCCAAGTTTAGTTATTGAGTCTTTCTGTATAGCAAGTCGCAGTAACAGCCCAGAGTTGGGAAGTTGGCGGTGTTTCACCCCCGTGCCTCTGAGAGCACGTAAAGCCGTCGGTCCTGCGCCTCTCTCACTGGTCTCTCACTCTCACTGGTCGTGTCGAGCAATCACCCACCACCCACCGTCCAATCGTCCAATCGTCCCACCGGAGTATGAAAGTGACAGGAATAGAGAGTGCACGTTGTGTCTGCGCGTACACTTGTGCACTATAATATCTCCTGCGCAGTTGGCTAGTCTCAATGAGATTGTCCGCCGTGGCCGGAATCGGCCAGGAGAACATCATATTATTTCAATTCTATATTATTGTATAAAAACAAATTAATATTATGTATGATGTGTGCTTAAAACATGCCAAATCCTATCAGCAGTACGGAAGATGTACTGCGCCGACCCCAAGTGATTGGGAAATGGGCAGGGAGAAGAAGAAGTGCTTAAAACACGGTCTGCAACAAGTATGGCACGGCAGGCCAATAATTCTCATTGGACTCGATGATCACTCGCGCGTGCTTCAGACAGGCAGATAGTGAGCGGATTGCGACGCTTCATGCCTCGATTGCGATTGAAATCAGATGCATCTGTCAACTTGCGCTAATTATTTTATCATACTACAAGCCATTTTAAATTAAACTATCTTTTCGGATTTTTCCCTGATTTATTTGGATTTTTGGTTCCCGTCGTTTCGAATGCTTTACAGAAATCATAGTCACGGGAGAGACTGAGGTCTTAGATGTCTCGAAGGTATAGTTGTTACAGACAGCCTACCCACAAATAATAAAATGAAAATTGCACCAATTACCTTACAATAATTTTTAACTTTATACATTTTTATAATTTTGATTACTTTTATAATTGAATATGGAATATTATTTATAAATTTTTGCTGTTATTATTATAATTATTACAATTTTAAAAATATGAATTAATAATCTATATTTAGTGTTGCCATTATTATATTTATAACCATAAAGAAAAAATATAAAATATAATATTAATTATTTAAGCTACATAATTTGTTCTATGTTTAAAAAGTTAAAATTAATTAAGAATAATAATTTTAATTTAGTTTGCTATTATTTAAAAAGAAAATTACTAAGCAACACTATTACTATATACTTTTACAAATGAAATGTAAAATATTTATCTGAAATGCTGTCATTTTGATCCACACAGTAAGAACTTACTACATCTACCTGTCTGTTATATTTAGATTTATTATTTGATTTTGTTATATTAATAACAGGATCCCATGACGATGGTAGTACCCAGCCATCTTCCCTATTGAAATTTGGATGTTTTTTTTAATTTTAGAAATTAAAAAACATCCAAATTTCAATCCAAATAAATCCGCGAAAAAATCCGAAAAGATAGTTTTATTTAAAATGTCAAATATTCGCGTAAATCTAAGAAAGTATTATACTACAAGCCAATTATTATTAATTATATAAGTAGGTACTGTTATTTTAACTGTCTAGTTGGTCTAGTAACTAGCATGCATAGCTGCAGACCCAAGGTCCAGGATTCGAGTCGCTGGTCGAATCTAGTGTTGTCATTGAGTTTTTCTGTCAAGATTTTCTAAGTAACAGCCTGCAGTTGGGAAGTTAGCTATTAACATTTATGGAGAATAATTTGACATCGGCCATCTTTTAAGAATACTATTGACTCTGTGTTCAAAAGTAGTTTAAAATTACTATCTCGGTAAATAATGTTGTTTCCGTGGGATATACCTAATGTATATATAGTAATAAAAAGTGACTGCGGAAATCTGAGTGAAAAGACGGTGTACCGATAGTTTTAAAATATATTTTTGGCTATGTTCAGCGAGACTTAGGAACTTTTATTTGATTCAGATGGTAAAGTAAGCCCTCAGTTAAAGTTTGAGTTGTTTGTGCGAACACTGCAGCCGCAGCTCTGCGCCCGCCGTCCCGCACAAAGCGCCAGTCCGGCGAAGGCGAACTAGATGCAAATATGTACACGCGGACCGCAGGCAGTTGATATTCACTTATTCGTAGTTACACTAGCTTCTTTCTTGTTTTGCTTTTTTTGCAACGAGGTAAAGTTTTAAATATTTTATTTCCTCGAATTTGGCCAATTTTTTTATATGCTATAGATATAGTTTCTTTAATTTATTGTTGAATTTAATTTATTTATTGAATCGCTGAATGTGTTGCTAAGCGCAAATCTCGAGAGCAGCTTAACCGATTTCGCTTATTCTTTTTTTAGAATATTCCTTGAAGTACGAGAATGGTTCTTATGAAGAGAAAAATTTTAAAAATTGCCTGGAAAGGTCTAAAAACAACACTTTTCTATACTCCCATACAAAAGATTCGTAATAATACTTAAAAGTCAATTTGAACTTTAAGACCATACCATAAAGGTTAAGTGTTAGTAATAGTTCCGAGAAGGCAAAACAATTGAGTGACGTTAGTATCGTATAAATATTAACGTCAATATTTGTCAATATTATTAACAAAAAAATTTATATGGCTAACGCTGGCTAATAACTATTTATATCTATTTAAAACGTACCTAGCAACGAACCCGAGCGAAGCGAGGTTGAGCCGCTAGTTACTTAATAAAAGAAAGTCTATCCGTTTTCGATGTATTTAACAAACTCATCATTTTTTTTATTTCATTCCTATAACTTAAAGCCAACAAAGTAATGAAACTATTTATTTATTTATTAACTTTTCATTTGGAGAGAAACGTGATCAAAATTCTGTTAATTTAATTGACAATCGATAAATACTACATTTTGATTGACATAACGTCCAGTTATCGAAGCGCGTGCGAGTTATAATGGATGAATTTCATTGGAATGAAAACCGAACTAAACGATACAGTGGAATGGATTGCTGTCAAGTCAAACGTTATACGAGTAGAACGCTCTATTGGAAAACAATTTATCCATAATAATTTACCCATTTTAGATACTCTATTACTGGGCACGGGCCTCCTCTCATTGCAAGAGTGATCAGGTCATAGTCCACCACGCCAGAATTAGGCCAAATGCGAGTTAGTCGACTACCTTGTCTTTCAAGAACTACTTGGGCTCTATCAGACATGCAGGTTTCTTAATGACATTATTCATATTTATTGTTAATTTGTACTTAATCACAATTTTGACCTAAACTTGCAAGAAGTAATAATTACGAGCGTCCAATCCTCGCTTCGCTCGGGGACTACGTTACGGTTTTACTGAC